CCGACCCCTGAGTGGGGGGGGGGGGGGGGGGCTGGGAAATTGATGTCAGGATTCTTTATCTGCCTAAAGATGCTTGTTCTGATGTTTCTGTTTCGATCTGGCTGACCTACTAAATATAATCTTTCCAAAAAGTGTTTATAATTCCTAGCGATTCAGTGAATACTTTAAGGTATACAGACTAAGGAATTGCTTTCTTTTTGTAAGTATGTGCATCGTTCAGACACTATGAACATGACAGACAATGAAAGCGGACAAAATATACAGTTCCTCAGGAAAACAAAGGAACATCCCTTCACTGCTATTATGTAAAAATGTGTAGAACAGGTGAATATGCATGTGACACCTGTTCTACACATTATAGCAGTGAAGGGCTGTCCCTTTGTCTACCTGAGGAACTGTATATTTTGTCCGCTTTCATTGTCTGTCATGTTCATAGTGAGAGTCGGTAAGGTTAACAATGTTTTCATCCCTCACGATTTGCCAGCAATATATCTGATATCTGAGCGCATAGAGACGTTATATAATGTGACATGCGCTATACAACAACTGAATATTATATCATATTATTATTATTACCTTATTATGAATGTCATTAAATAGATTCCAATCATACCGTAATGAGACAACCTTTGGAATGCTAAATTAATTTTCCAAACTATGTCACAGATTCTCAAAGCTTCGTTGAACTTTTGATATTTGGAAAGATAAAAAACACTTAAGAAAATATAAAAACTTTTTATCCAACTAATGAAACTATGCGTTCAAGGGATTTTTTATGTGGCTAATTAAACTTTGAAATTGATCAGAGTCAGTGGAATTTGTTGTAATTGCTTTCAAGGAAACCGCTTCAGGAATATCGTCTGTACGAAAATGGACATAATGTAACCACACTATTTTCCTTGTTATTGCGACTCTTAGCCAACATTACTACATTTCAATTTTATTTTCAATTTCATTATTCAATAGAACTAAGCTTCGCTCACATTTTACATATAGATATTACATAACTTCATATACATTATATATCTGGTTCTCTAGTGTCCTTAACTGAAAATGTAAATTCTCTGATGCACCTATAGGACACCTAAAGGACTGCACATTGTAGGCTTATGTATCACGTGTAAATATGACCAAAGGTTAGAATTTTAGTAGTGACCCTTTACTGCATTTTTCTCTTAATAATTATGTCATTATTTTCATGTGATCAATTTATAATAAAACAGCGTTACTTCGATGTTTCACAGATTTCTATGAATGTAAATCTATAATTGTAATCGCTAAACAAATTGAATATCTCCTTCTTCAACGAAACAAATAATTTCTAAGATATTGTAAACTAACAACCTGTCCTTTTTATTCCAGATTTGTATCCATCACTATAACATTCAATAAAATATTCGAATGACATTTTCAGTAGAAAATATTTGCTCAAAACTCTTTGCTTACGTCATGATTGTGGACATGGTGGTATTATTTAGATTAGGTTGCAGCCACAGATCTATGTTTTGGTTATCTTTTTTTGCTTAATTTCAAACCTTTCTTTTCCCGAAGAAATTAATCAAGTTTTGAATTACATAAATTCTCAAATACATAAATAGATTGACCAACACGAGTTGTAATTTAATGAGATGGTAAGGAAAAGTAAGTACGATTTAGTACCAGTATGTTGATATTGAGGAGAAATTGAAAGGCGTCAGGTCCACTTAAATGCACAGTTGCCTCACATTTGAACTTTGTCTAAACTCTCCAAAGAGCCAATATTTGGTATTGCTGCGACATTCAGACTCAAATCAATTTGTCTGTTGGTATTCGTCAAACCCGAATGGATTTATTTTTAAAAAATTGGTCGGGAGCGGCGAACTTATTGGAGAAAGGTCGATCGTAGTACTGTATATTTTGATTTTCAGCATTGTTTTGTCCAAACTTAACTTTGAAATGGAACTTTGGTGTTTGTGCGTGTGTGTGTGCGTGAGTGTGTGTTTGTGTGCACTGATTCTATTTAAAAAAATACATATCGTGAATTTCTGTTAATACAGTGTGTTTTCATCTGACATGTATCACACAAAATCTGGAGGCTTCTTATTTTCAAGTGTATACTTTTTGCTATCCTCCTTTTCTTGTTCAAATGTAATTATTTACGAATGTACAATCTGATGTTTTATTTAGTGTTCAAGAATAAAATGATTTTGATTTGAATTGAATTGAATTGTTTAAATTTCATTACATAGTTGAATTGCCTCTTTCTCAATTTCTATTCTGTGTGTACTACTTAGCTAACCTGCAATTGATAGTAATTTGCATTTGATATGGTAATGGAGTGACGAATCTTTTGTCTTTGACTTTGTGCACGACTTAACAAATATCTAAAATTTACCTCAATAGGCGGTGTCACACAGAGGCCAAAAATCCGGATTTTAGTTATCCTCTTAATTGCTGTCTGTCATCAATTATCCCTTCTAAAATCCTCTAACGTAGCATGAAAATTCTCCCTTAAAAGGTTTTTTCAAGGGATTTTTTAAGGGATTTTTCTGTGTGACACCGCCTAATGTAAGTTTGCATTTATATTCTGACCTTTCTGGTTGTGTTACAAATGTTTTAAAAAACACATTGCACAGGAACATTGAAATAAGTTTTCGTAAGCGCTGTAGTCTTACACACACCCACACACACACACACACACACACAACACACACACACACACGCACGCACGCACACATTAGCGCACACGCGCACACATGCGCACACACACATATATTATGTATTCACATTTCACTCAAGTGAAGCAAAGGGCTTCTTACATAATAATTAAAAACAATTTCTCAACATTTAAACACAATTGACTTTTAAACGACAGCGATCGTAATTATGGAATTGCATCTGATTTCGTTCTTGATATTTCAAACACAAGCTTCGAAATTTTAAAGTACTATAGTTTCTTTTTTTAGCCTGAAAAATATTTCACGTTGTGAGCGTGTCGATCCAATTTATTTTTATGAGAGCCGAAATTCTTTATCAAACCACCCAATAAACAAAAAATATTTCTCATGGACATTATTTGAGGGAAGATCTGCAAAATCTCAAGTTGTAAGATATCAAATAGTAATCCTGATTAAATCTGGCTGAAACTTTTTTTAATTGCGAAATAGTCGGGTCTAAAGATTACTTTGGCAAATATTGGCTCTTGGTCAACAATTCGCCATCGAGTGTTCGTATGTTCATAGCACAACCTAGACGAGGTTAATAGGGACAGGAGGGATAATGTTAAGAATCATATCAAGCTTTTAATCTTTGCCTCCCTTCCTGTTTAATTCGCCATCTCTTTTTCTATCTCTCTCTCTCTCTCTGCCTCTTCTTTAATTTTTCCTTCGAAGGTCTTTCACTCACTCTCTTTTTTTTTTCTTTCTCTCGGTCTCAATGGGCAAACGCGATCTCCAAAATTGCACTGGCAAACAGACTCACTTCCCCATCTGTGATTTTGCAACCGTCGCCCTCGTTTAACATCTAATGCCACAAATGTCATTCTCGCTTTTTCTTCTCGCCACTCAACTTGCGTCCACCATGGAGGGAGATGGCGTCGCTGCATGTGCGATATGCATCCACGCATCCGTCTCTACCTGACTTTTTCTTGGATTACGACAGTCGAGTAGACACATTGGTTTTCTCTCTTTGCATGGGTTTTATGCGCATTGCGGCAAAACGAAGGGCTACGTCAGCGAGTGCATTGTGGGATAGAATTGCGGTGTGGTAATGTCGCATTGCAGTTGATCTCTGGACCAATCAGAGATGCATATCTGTTGCCTTTCCCGCCTCAAATGCCGCCAGCGAGGATTCATTTTTTCGTAACTAAAGAAGGAAAATTGCATTTGAGCTATTAAAGTAGAAAAAATATTCCCAACCTCGTATAAATAGAAAAACAATAATGACGAATGAAACGATGATGAATTTGTAGGCCTGATCTGAATCACATATCTCACATAAAGTGCAACCCGTAATATGAATTGTTTCAAAGAAGATACGTCATGTGTTCTTGATTACAAGCAATAGAGATATAACATAACATTTTTAGGATCTGTTCATTCCGAAACAGTTTTCATGTCGAAAAAATACATAAGATTTTGCCCCAGAAATTATTCAATACAAATGAAGATGATAATAACCTTTTTATCCTTTTATACAGAAAAAATGTTACAAGTGAGATTTCCAGAAGTTTTGCTATAAATCGAGTTTATTAAATGCTCGTAAAATATAAACAACGGATTTATCTAAATTCAAAGTGTCTAAAGTATTTATTCAGAGATAATATTTACGTGCAAGAGTATAAATATGACAAGACGCTTATTGCAAATGATACATTTCGTTAACAAACAGGAAACAAAACAAATATTTAAAAGTAGCCTATGCCAACAATCAACATATTACTGGGTGATTTTCATCACATGTATACATCCCATACAAGGAACATTCAAGAAATTGATTTTATAATGGTCCTTTGTAGGTTTATTATGACAGCATATAAAGGCAGCCACCAATCAATCTGTGTAATTTTGTACGTTATCGGAAGTTTAGAGCTAATTAAAAACATGATATTGGTTGCATGCACAACACGGTTCCTCGCGCCATTTATGGTAGTTACATTGTTTACCAACTAGGACTTATACCAACTAGTACGTGTGTTTTTTAAGATGAAAATGTATAACTATTGGTACAATTAGATTTCTGTATTACAAAATGCATAATGCACAAAATACCAATCTCTTTTATTTTTCTAAAAGTAGATAAATATTTTTGCTGTTTCCCCTTATTCATTTCTTATTATGAACCAAAGGCAAATTGGAGTTGATCATGTAATTCCTTTGATGATAAGTTATCAGATTATGACAAACACGATCACATTCTTTCCCCTGCACAAAGGTCGCACACGTACGATTCTCGCATCGCCATATAGAAATCATGATCACGGCGAGATTAGATTTAAATTATTTATGAGGCTCATTTGCATACGATAACTGAATATATAAGAGGGCAAGCGCTGCTTATGGGTATCTTCTGGGTATCTTTCGCCGCGTGCGTTATAATAGGAAATACTACGGTGTATAGCTCACTTGCGTGGAATCATTACGACTGGGTTATTCCTCTTTATCTGTCCTCTCCGCTTCCTTACTTGCAGCTAGTAGCAGCAAACCCATTTCTTCTAAATCGGAATCAACTATCTACAACAATTGACAAAATGGTAAGTCATTTCTTTACTTTTATCATTTTGAAAGTCTACTTGCTTACCTAAAGCTTCTTAACAATAATTGATGCAAAATGATCGTGATTTTAGTTCTGTACACGCACCGTCGTGTAATGAGCACCAAAGACTGTGCATTTGGATAATTATGGAAGTGAACTAAATTTAGATGGATAAGGGTAACATATTGTATCTTTCTGTGACTTTGGGGATTATTATTTAAAGCAGCATCATAGCAAAACAGAGATATTAGTGTAGATATTTTACTTAAAATCGTAAGCTGAGTGAATGTATCTACAGGAGGAGGGATGCGTGCAACCACTAATCGATAATAGGTGTCAACCTCACGGCGCCTTTTTGTACACTTTGACTCCTTGAGTGTCAGAGGCGATGGTTAATGTGAAATAGATAGCTGCTCGAGAAACTTCCGAATAGTCTCCGGAAAATGTATGGAGTGTGCTAGTGTTAAGGTTAAGCCTTTATGGTATCATTGAAATGATGAGTATTGGTTGTATTCTATGTGAAAATAAACTGAGCCTGTGAGGGACCATTTCGAGTAGTATTTAGGTGACTTGTAATGTTTATTATCACTATCTAAGGGGACAGTATGGGCTTAAGACCTCGGTCCTTGATGCATGTATTTTCGATTGGTGTAATTTACTTTGTTACTTTGCATACCTATGCATCTTCTAACTATAGAACAATTTTATAAAATAGTTTTTTTGATTAATCGGAAATTTTATAAATTGAGCGTTTAGTATGCAAATAATGTATTGAGGACGCAATGTTCCTACGTAATATATTCGATATAAGATATGTATTAAAAGAACTCGCACGTTCAATTACTCACTATTCAAAATCGTTAACACATATGTTAGGTTTTTACGACAAGAGGCAACACATAATCTATGCACTTGTATAAACTAGAAGGAAATTAATCGTCTATATGGAGTACCAGACCATATAAAGCAAGTTTTATATCGAAACAAAAGAAAACGAGACATAGAGACATAGCACATGGGATGGAAAAGAACTGTGATCAAAGAAAAAAATCTTGTGGGTGCGACTCAAGATAAAGCATATTTACTATGGTTTTACTGTTTGCTGTTCTTAAACTTTATCGCCCTTGTTAACAAACATGGGGATCAGGAGAGTAATGTCAAATTTACAAAGCTCTATACAACTCAATGACATTCTGCTTAAACACAAGTTAATACAAATTTAAATACAATGAATTTGACAATTTATATCATTCTCTGCAACGAAATCTAAGAAAAGCGTTTTCTGTGTAAAATAAAAACCTGTATATCGTTTTTCCCTTCATACAACCCACATCACAGAGAAGACAGGGAGAGAGAGAGAGAGAGAGAAAAAAAAAATAAAGAGAGAGAAATCAATGGAGTATACTCAGCTGTATACATTAATGTAATCATACTCGAGCAAAATTGCTTCGATTTGCGTTCATTGATTGTCTCGAATGTATACACAGGGTTATTTTTTATTCGCGTTTCAGCTTGTATTCTTCCTTCCGTAATACAGATCAGTGTTTTTCTTCCAATGACTCATATTTGGGTAAGGAGAATTTTTCAAGTTCCTGTATTAGAAGAATATATAAATCGATGGGGGAAAATGTATAAATCCGGTTTGCACAGCTGTTGGAGTAAGGTTGTATTTCACTTCGATGTTTCGTACTATTCACAATTAAAAACGAACAACGATAAAACATACTGTCCATTCAATGTATAATAACATTCCAATTTACTTTTCTTCGAAACTTGATTATATTTAATTTACTGTGATGTAGGAACAAAAACTTGACGACTCGAATTACAATCATAACTCATAACTGTTCATTATATCAGAATTATAAGCATTGGGGAATATGTACTACCGTTGTTCTAATATAAATCATATAAATTATTGCCAATTACCCAGCTGCACCTGCTAAAATCATTCAATATCAACGTGCACTCACAAGGACCAAGGTTGATGATTATCTTAAAACATTGATGGCACAACCAGTTGCCCTAATAAGGTTAACTCCCGGTGGTCTTCCCATAATGTTGGATTTAATATAGGTTGTTTTAATGATGGCATCCAGGAAAATTGTAGAGTAAATTTCGGGTAGTTGTACTTTTAATGACCTATGATTTAATTTGGCAATTGAAAATTTGCACCGCATTCAAGTGCTAATTTTTAGTTGCTAAGAAGAAAAGTGTATTTTAGGGGGAGGGAGTTTTATCAGAAAATATAAGAACCATGCATGCACTCCAGATTGTCTACATTACCAGTCTGACTCTATATTATTAACCAAACATTCTGTAGCTGGTAAGTTATATTTTTCTTTAAGATAGGAATATCCTGAAATAACATATGTTTCACCATTATACTTTTTGAAAGCCAGCATTATTATTGAGCGCTATATAAAAAACCGGATTATTATTATTATTATTATTCTGATACATTATTATACTAATTCCGCATGTTTCAGTAAAGTCCTCTGTTGAAGAAAGATCCTTGATTTTATAGGATGTTATATGATAAACATTATTTGGTAGAATTTTTTGGAAAGACATAATTATTTTAATAATTCTAACCGTCGACGTTCATTGCAAGACTATATCAAATACGTAAATTGTTTTTTATCAGAATGATTTTTATAATAAGAAAGAAGTGTAAAAAGAGACAGAGGAAAAAAGTGCGCCCACGCTAAAGCATTCTATCAAGAATTTTACCTGAAATAGGAAGAAAATCCGCTCTTGATATCTGAATTAAGCTATTTGACATTTACGGCAAACTTCCATCGTCAAATCTAGAAGTAAACGTCACAAGCTGTCGATGCTTAAACGAGAGTTTTGAAATGCGTAGGCATGTAATATTTTTGTATTAAAGCGTTTATGAAAACCACTACATTAGTTGAGAATAAACCAGTGAATGTAAATAAAGGTGTCTTGTTGATCAGATTATCACGCCTAGCGAGACAGATTTAAAAAAAAAGATTGCTCAAGTATACAATAAAGTGCATTTCACCGGTAGAATAAGTGGCAAGAGCATTGTATTCTTATTACATGAACGATCATGTTTCTTTTTCAATATTCGCTAAGTCATTGTCAAAGCTTTCGCCATATTTACATCTTTATTATTTCAAAAATTGTCATTCGAGAGTCGTCATCAATTAAAAATAATCTAACGAAATGATTTTTAGCAATAACCTATACCGTGATTTGTAAGTTTCTATACCCTTATATTTCTTTTCTTCCATATTGACGTCCTGAGAACTAAAACGTTTATAAAATGTTTAATTACTTCCCAAGAACGTTTTTCTCCCCTTAGAAGATGGTATATGTTCACTAGAAAACGAGAAAGTCAATTGAATCGTGGTCTCCACTTTACAACTCCAAGATCTTTGCATCCACCCACCCCGTCGTGAGATGATGATTGAATAGGAGAGTTTTAAAGTCTGCTTCCCCGTAGTTTCTAGAGTGCTGAAAAGCTTTATCATGCTGTGTCGTGTTTGTACAGATAACATGGTTATTACAGAGGAGTGGTACCATGATGTTAGAATTATCAGTTAAAGATAAAGGGGTTGTTAGAAAGCGGGGCACACGTTTGCACATTTAATTAGCTTGGATGTCAGACAGTCAGAGGGAGATGTCTAAAACTCCCTAGATTGGCAAAAGTAAAGGACTTCTGAGATATGATTTTTGATGGGGTGTACATGGTATATCAAATCGTTTCGCCCAAAGGAGCTTGTACACATAAATTATGTAATACAGACCATTGACCAACTTCACGTCTTTTATTTTTCAAATCCAGAATTTGCGGGCTTGCTCTTGCGCAAGTACCCATTTCGTAAAGCTGCAAGAAAATGGGGAAAATTAATGGTGTCTATATCCGCATAATGTGTTATGAGAACCTTTGTCATGCGAACTGACAAGGCCCTTTGTCTTTGCTAAACAAAACTGAGGGGGAAGGTAAAACATTGTATATACATGTACAACAAAAGTTACTTATAAAGCGCTTACCACCGTAGTCTCTAAGCGTGCAAATAAACCTACAAATTATAATAGTTCATATGAAATACACATCAATGCGAACAGAGTAAGTCAATCATCAAAAGCAATTTTGAATAATCGTGTCTTAAGACAAATTTTCTATATGCCACTTTCAATAATAAAATAAAAGGATTGAATATTAAAGAATCGAGTAAAGAACCTTCAATTTTCTACAATTACAGGCGCGATCAATAATTGGGCAAAAAGAATTTCTATTTCGGTTTAATAAAATTTGGAGTAGACTATTAGGCTATTATTATTATTATTATTATTATTATTATTATTATTATTAATTCCACCCTTCTTTCATTCCAACTAAACCAAATTGTTAATTTTGTGTATTCCCATTACAGGCAGACCAACTTACAGAAGAGCAGATTGCTGGTAAGTATAACCCTCTTTAAAATATGTCAAGCTGAAATGAGACTCTTATTAATTAAAATATCTCTTGTTTCTTGAGCTGAGCACCAATGATGTAGGGCTAGTGTTATACCAAAATACATGCTTTCTTTCAGGGAAGCTTTAAGTATACAAGAAGTTGAAGGTCTTTTACTTCCAACATTCACTTATCTTATTATATTATCATCCCTAATCCCTTTGTGAACAAGGAATACCTGAAATTAATCAAATTGCAGGACACAACTTATTTGAGAAAAACCTGCAATGGAGTAAACCATACAGCGATTCTATTGCTATATGCAATATGCAGAAGTCAAGAAGTAGCGGTTCGCAAAAACGAATTCAAGTGTTCTAAACTCCTTATCTCATACAAATATAAGAATAATTTCATTCCTCTAGGCAATTATCATCGTTGTATAAGGAGGAAACTAATGGATTCGCCTTGTTGATCAAAGCGATGAAAATATGGCCCGAGGCTCTCGTTCCAATGGTTTTCAACAGCGTGTAGGTGGTGAATTAATATGTTTTGACGGCCCTGGTGTGGGAAGCGCTTTGGTCACAATGCACAACACTTTTACCCGAATACATTACAGTCCGCTAATGCTTCTTTTGAAGTGAAAACAATGCTAGTCACCCGCTTAATGGTTATATAAGTGATAGGGTTACGGGAAAAACAGGACGTGACGAATTATTTAAGCCATTGACAGACGCCCTGTCATTTCTAATGAATAATCTTGATCATGCTACCAAATGAGCCGTAAATATGTATATGTATATATATATATCAGTCTGTTCTTTCCAAATATAGTCTGCGTAATTTTATGTATCTATGCTCTGATAATTTTCTCCCCATTCAGTCTCTGTGATAATTTGGTATCAATACCCAGTTTTATTCTTACAACACACATAGTCCCACCACTTTCACCTACTACCTAATACTCCCGTGTTTGTTTGGTTATGAAATTACATCTTCATACACGAAATTATCGCGTCACAGAAACACGTGAAGCGTTAGTGATAGTTTTAGTCAGAATATCTGCGTGAAATTCACGTGAATATTACGAGGCTGACTTGAGATGAATCATGTTCTTCATTCACGGGAAATTTACGTCGAAGAGGAAGTATGTTACTGTAACCCGCGTTCAACCCAATAATTACGCAAATGTTACACAATAAATGAACCAAAATAATGACGATCTCATCCCGTTTCTGAACATTGTGTCGTGGATCTTCCATAATTACGTCCAGGCACGCCGGAAGCAGTTTGGGATTAGAGGGGGTTGGGTGGGGGGGGGGGGGGGGTGTGCAAACATCCCAGAAGAGAAAGCTAGTTGCAACTGGTCCAGTTGATGAACCATTTAATGCCAACTGGTAACCCTGGAAATTGAAATGGGCTAAATGATCCAGTTGATCCAGGCCAGTTATAATTCAACTGGTCTAGCTGAGCCATTAGAACCATTTGGTAAAACTTCCAACCAGTTAAACAGCAACAATACTTCAATACTGGTACGTCTGTATTTCCAATGTAAGGGCATTGGTAATAAGTAGACTTACATAATTGAATTAATCGAAATAAATTCGTATACTTGTACTTTATTGAAATTATTTTAGTTCACAGTTAATGTTTCCCTTATTCATGTTAAACTATTTATACGAAGTAGCGAAATGTCCTAATAACTGGTAATTTATATTTGTAGTATTTTCGAAATGAATTGCATATAACTAAATCATCAGTAATTAAGAAATATGCTGTAAATTCAGATAAATTGTTTAAAAAACATAGATCTGCACGCACCCCATATTCAATATGCAAATGAATTGGTGTCAGCTGGGTCAACTCGAAATATGCCAACGCTCAGTCATCAACTGGTGCAACTGGAAATATGCACACTCCAGTTATCAACTGGTGCAATGAAAATATGCCAACAGTCAGTTATCAACTGGTGAACATAGAAATATGCCAACAGTCACGGGATTATCACCACGGAACTTAAATGGTAACTGTGAAACCATCAAGACACCCAAGAATAACTCATTTTCACACATGGAAAACACGGAATACCCAGCTTATATTAATAATCCGTTTGAGTCACGCGATCATCACCGCGGAACTGCTGGCAACTTTGACTACGATTTAAATAGGTGTTTTAAGACACCTAATCATGACTAACTTTTCACACCTAAATATCACGGATTCACAGCTTAGATTAGTAATCAGTTTTAACTACGTGATCATCACCAAGAAAGTTATGGTAACTTTGAAACCATTTAAATAGATGTTTTAAGACACCTAATAATGACTAATTTTTCACACCTAAAAGTCACGTATGACAAGCTTAGATCAATAATCCGTTTGAGTCACGATATCATCACCGCGGAACTTATGGCAACTTTGACTACCATTTAAAAAAGTGTTTTAAAACACTTAATAATTACTAATTTTCACACCTACATATCACGTTTTCACAGCTTAGATTAGTAATCAGCTTGAGCCAGGTGATCATAACCAAGAAATTTATGGTAACTTTGAAACCTTTTAAAGAGGTGTGTAAGACACTTCAGAATTACTAGTTGAATATAACCAGAGATTCACGGACAGAACAATAAGACGATTAGCCGGTGTAAGTGACGTGATTATTACCATCAACCTTGGATAACCTGTGAAACCAATCAATAAAGGTGCTTACAAGACCAAATAATTACGTATTTATCGCCACCATCGGTTAACTGACAAAAAACTCGTTGCTTGGTCAAGTGGTTATTTGGTCATAAACACTTGATTTACAGAGGTAAGTGGAATCCCGTTACTCCAGTCGCGTGATAAACTGGTGGTTTTTCGGTTAGATGAAAACGTGAACAGGAGTACCTTTTTTGTTTAAATGAAGGCACGTGTCGATAACGTTTAAATCTAGTTCAAAAGGCACTATACTTTAAAATCACTTAAAATACACTCCCAAAAGAGGTTACTTTTTGGTGTTCTGTTTATTGGGATATAAGACATAATTCCAAAGCTTTACGTTATACATAAAATAAAGGATATATTATAAAGGCGTTCAAGACATTTGATAATTCGATATAGAAATGAAAACGTATCCTAGCTAATTACGAAATATTTTTGAGACATTCGTAAATGAATTGTATCATATTAATATGTTAAGTTCAGGTTTTAGGAATGAATTGACAGTCAACATGGTCAGGTGAATGAATTATAGACAACATTTATCTACTCCAGTCCACAAATGCCGACTCAGTTTATCATAAATCGCTCGGGTCATGTGAAGGACAGTTGCATACTGATAGCAATACTCCGACTTACATACAACACAGTGCTCTCTTCAAACTTTGCCCAAAATGACTACGACTACGACTCGTTTGTACCGCAACTCTGTAAACAACAGATCCAGATAAAAATTACTAAATATTTGCTAGTTACCATCATGATGGCAGTTCTTCGAAACATAATGTAAAAAGATGCAAATATGATCATAGGCTCATAGGCTCAATAGAGACAATGGAATTGTATGAAAAATTGAAAACCACACAAAAATGAAGCAGAAACGAATTAAAACATAAGACATGACGCAAAGGACATTGAAGTTACAGAGGCCATATAGTTCAGCTTTTCGCTTCATTGTTGATCGACAGAGACATATCCTACAACGTTTGTGTATTATGAAGAAAATTTGAATAGGGGACACGGGATGAGAGACACAAGAAAGAGAGAGACACACAAACAAGAGAGAGACACACACACAGACAATAAAGAGAGAGAGAAGGAGAGAGAGGGAGAGAGTGAGAGTGAGTGCGTGCGCGTATGTGTTTGTGTGTAAAATTGAGTGTGAATGTATTGAGGTTAGAAAGCAAGAAGCGGCTAAAGAGAGACAGGCTTGAGAAATATCAAGGGTGAGACATTTTGACGTCAGAGCCTAACTTCTTGACTCCCCAGTTAATTCGTAACGCATTAGCAGCTTTAAAGATGGTATCAGAGCTGATTGCGAGTGGTATAAATAAACAGAATTAGTTTGAACTGCACACTCCCTTCCATGACTGTCAATCAGGAAGGAATTTAAAGCTCAATAAACCCGGGGGTCGGATGCAAATACGGTCTATCCCCAATTAGGTATATACTGGTTGAACAAAGAGGGGATATGGAGTTTGCGGCTATCATGTCCCAGTGGGTGGCTCGTGAACACATTTTATTCCGATTCACATGACATTTCAATGTGCCAGGCGTGAAATATGTACTCAAATCATCAAACCATATGATTTATAGATTGCATGTTGTTATTTCTTTTTTTCTAGTGTGCTTTTCGGTAAAAAATTAATTCATATTTATTAAAGATTTGTGGTAGGCCTACACAAAAACACAAAAACTAATCTTAACAGGAATGAATTACATTTCCCTTCAATACTGACGCCTTAGCCATTAACACTTTATTACTCATAGCCAACAGGCGTAATTTGAACGGTTTACTTTGAATTTAATGAAATGTATGCGATCTGCAAACAAATCCAACATCCAACAAAATTAATGCATACACACATTTTCCGCCTTTTCTTTTGGTACGGCGCAGATACCTTATATTTGCACGACTATGACTCAGATTCAGATCACAGTCATATTCAAATTTTGCTCTGCAAACACCATGTTAGGTTCATATTTCATTATGGTTCCCTTTTGTAATTTCGAAAGAAATATGTCAAATGAATATGTGAGTAAACACAGTGGCAGATATCGGGCAAACACACTTTTAAAGGGAAACACTGACAGGCATTAAGTTTTTACTTCGACAACATCATGTGCAATCATGAAGAAAGATTGGGAACATGAATCCTATGTAAAAATTCAAACCCATAAAATAATGCCATATGAGTGTAGACTATTGACTATAAATTGATTTATTTTTGAAGCATCAACCATAATGGTATCCTTGTTGTATCCCTCTAGCTTTGGATTGTTGTATTTTAAATTGAAATCAGTGCGTAGTATTTAGATTAATGGTATAAAAACTTATGGAGAGAAAGGAAAATAGAAGGAGAGAGACATAGATCAGAAATAAAATATGTCTTTGTTAAATCTTAAGAAAGATATTATACAGGAGTATAATAAGAAGAAAAGCAACTATCTAAACCTAATTCCTATTTTATAACAAAGAAATTTCTTATTTGTAATATATGCCTCAGCCCTCTCTCTCTCTCTCTCTCTCTCTCTCTCCCTTTCTCTCTCTTTCTCTCTCTCTCTCTCTCTCTCTCTCTCTCTCTAATATCTACCTCTTATAGTTGATTACTATGTTTGGGCACGCACAGAACAGTAGGGTCAGATCGTCCGGTATGTTGTAAACAAGTTAATATCTTCCGTAGATTCGGATGGTATATGGCAAAGGGTTAATATACAAACTCCCACATTTATAATGTTTGTCTAGTCTTCTTCGGGACATTATGCTACATTCAGGTCGATGTGATGAATAGAGTTTTATTTAATAATACTCATCATCGGTTTTGATGTTTCAATTTTGTTGTGAAAGTAAAAGAAAAGTGAATTAAATGCGTCATAATGCCGATAACCATAGGGGCCTTACAATTAATGCCAATTGTGAACTGTCATAAACAAGGTCTTCAAATTACATAATTTAAAACTCGATAACATAAACATTTTAGTTTTTAACGAAAGGCAGAATCCCAAAATATATTCTTCTGTTCTCGTTTCATCTTGGTTCCATTCTTTTCCCTCTGTTGGCATAACTAATTTTCAACTTGGAACTATTTCCTATCACTTTGATGATGAAAATAAACGCATAGTAGAATCATATGACGATTCCATTTACAAAATACTACCCCTCATCTACGTGTTTCGGTTTAAAAAAAAAGAGGATTTGCCTTGCCTTTGAATGTCACCATATAAATTACGCAATGACTTCTTAACGACAAAAGTATGCTAGCTTCGGTTCGTGAGACTTTACCCCCAAAACAGGAGCTTACAATAGCATGCATAACACGCACTGGGGTTGTTTTTCTCGTGTAGAGTCTTTCTTTTCCCGCCTAAAATAACCATTATCCTCAGGCAAATCATCAGAGTGGGTAGGTTCTGTAATACAATTTATTTTCATTTGACGCCCCGATTTATTCGCCGTCATTTGCCTATAGGTGAGTGAATAAAGGGGGCCTGATTATTACTGCTAGGATCAGGCGGGAACTTCACTTCTTCGTGACCATGTTGCATCTACAATGTCTTGTCAATATTATTGAAGGTGAAATCATTTTTTTAATAAATATCTTCCTTTATATTGATTATTTGCTGTCACGCAACATTTTCCAGAACTATAAATGTAATTATATAATTGTGACTCCAGCTAATGCAGTTTTATGAGAACTACATACACTCTAAAAATAAGTCTTTCCTTCCCTATATCCTTAAACATTGAACTGAAAGATTTGTTCGGCATTTTAGTCATGTTTAAACCTTTCGAAAGAGATGATGTAAAGCAAACCCCTGGAGGAAACTACCGATGAAAGGAAATTAGAAGTTGCAGGAATAATAGCTATAGGAGATGTTATCGGTAGACATGAGCAAAAACACCTGATATCAGGAAGTAGGAAGGCGATATTACCTGTACTGGATTATGGGTGAATTTCGTGAGCTGTTAGTGTTATGTAGTGAGGTAGGATAACTATAATGGTGCCAAAATACTTAGATGTATTGTGGTACTTGAATGACCCATATTTAATGCACTTTTTTAACCTTAATCAGTCATTATCAAATCCCTGGTTATTTTAAAGCAAGTTGTGTGCGAAACAGCATGTTTTGTTGAAGGAACCTCTTTATTTAATTTTTCATAATTTAAGTCGTCCTGGTTCGGATAAGGGTTCGGATATAGCGTTTTAATTGACGTCCACGCTCCGTCACACTTAGCGTTTAATAACTTATAAATTATCTTCAAGATGTAGGAACTTACATGCATTTTATCTTTACACCATTAAAGTGATCTCTGTACTTACCGCTAATGAACAAACTTTGGGGATTCCTCAAAAAGCAGCAACAAAAAAATGATCCCTGTAAGGAAAGTATAATGCTCAAATCAATCAATCAATGTATATAATCATGATAAAACACTCTATGGACGTAAGATTTAAAAAAAATCATACTTATAGAAATAAGTGCCAAAAGTACACCCAATTCATTCATGATTGAGCGTTATTATGATGTTTTCAGTTATCATTATAATGAAGCCTGGATCCATGAAAATCATTGTCTTCGAAGAAGCTATTGACTTTCAACCATAATAGCTGTGGGCAGGTTGGTTAGGAGCAGCTGATGCCCTCTAAAGTGTCACACCATAGTTGAGCCCTTTTCACCAGACTCGGAAATTGAAAAGCGAAGACGTCAAGAAAATGTCTTGGAGTCAGCCTATTTTTCATTATTCTGTCTCCACGAGGAATAGGGGTGATTTGTCATGATAACGCATGGGCCTTCACATCTCCAAGACTTGCCTTAACTCTTCTTGTCTCATCTCATCTCCGCAATGATAGATCATCACCTCCCGACACCATCAGGTGTGTTCCCTCTGCCGAGTAAGATGAAATTGGCTTTTTCGGCAGGTGATGGTTGTTTTGTGAAGAGCCATGCGCACTATTACGAGATGATAACGTTATTTAGGAGCACAATTTGCTTCTTTCATACTTCAATTCTGTACAGTGCACATTTAAAACGGGTTTCTTCTTTGAAAGAATATAATCATAATGGAAAGAGTAATTTCAGTCATTAGATCTGCATGATTTCATCCAAGCAAAATGAATGTCTTCTGATTAATTCATTGTAGAAATTATTGCGACCATAAAGACTGAAGCGCAATACAAGCATTGATGATGCATCCGGACCCGTTTATAATGGAGGATACATAAATACATATATCGGACATTATAGTTGGCAAATATGCGTATGACACACAATAATCAGATATCGTAAATACGTAAAGGAGACCATAAATATATAGAGAGAGAGGGGGTGCTGTAGGGTGACTGCATGCGGACAGTAAGAAGGTTAGAAATATATGGAGAAATAATAACTTTGAAATATTGTAGGCGGGCTTGAACAAATATGAAAAATATAAATAATATGGAGAAGAAAAAAAACACGCACATAGTAATACATAAAGCGCACGATCAAAAAAAAGGAAGAGAAAAGTAAAGGAAAGAGAGTGAGAGAAGGGGGAGTATAAAAAATGACTGAGATAAAGAAAGATGAAGTCCCTTGATTGCAAATGAGATGCGAAGGAACACATTTATTACTTGAGGCTCTTCACCAAGCTAAAAAAATGGAAGTATGGTGTTGAGGAGTGAGCAAACATGAAACGTCTTTCACAAGTACCAGCCCTCTCTTCAGCTACCGCAGAAAATCATTGTCCCTGATACCTGCTCACATAAAGGAGACAAATAGGGTGGTTTCTAGGGCAATGAAGAGGGTCTTGTCAAGTTTCCTTGCATTATGTCACAATAGCAGGGGTTATGGGTTATAGGGTCATTCACAAAGAGGATTTTTGTGCATTTCATGATCCTGTCGTCGTTATTTTGTTTTAGTGATTTTTCGATGTCTTTTGTAGTATGCTTTTTAAAATTGAAAATAATCAATGCTAGAAGACACTGCATGTAACGATTACAAAAAAAGGATAAACAAATATCACAAGAGTCATTTAGATATGATGTGATTTATGTTTTGTTTTATGAGTGCAAGTAGGTGTGGCTTGTCATGATAGGATCTGACATTTGTGAAGTTGTGCATAGTGTGCTTCACTTTTTCTGTCATCTTTTTGTCTTTCAGAATTCAAGGAGGCTTTTTCTTTGTTTGACAAGGATGGTGATGGTACAATTACCACGAAGGAGTTGGGTACCGTCATGAGATCACTTGGTCAGAACCCTACCGAGGCTGAACTACAGGACATGATCAATGAGGTCGATGCTGATGGTAAGAAGCCAAAAGAATTCAACTCAAATTTATAATTTTAATAATTTCAATATTTTTTATTTATTTATCCATTCAATATTCATAGACACTAATTTCTTTCTTTTTGCTGCTTAAATCCTTTCATTCCATTAATATGCAATCTTTCAAGCTAAAATTGCTTCTTTGTAGATATAATAATAATAATACATAAGATTTATAAGGCGCCAAATCCACTTGACAGTCAAATGCTCAAGGCGCAGCTTGTGCAATAGATGAAATACATACATGATACATTAATACAAAGTGCAATAGGAAAGGTACATACATGAAAGGTTATGGTAATCAATTATAAGCTAAATTAAACAGATATTTCTTAAGATTGTTTTTTAACACTTCAGCAGAACTGCTATTTCTAATCCATTGAGGGAGAGTATTCCATAACGAAGGCCCAGTATGAGCGAAGGTTCGCTCCCCCCACTTTGTTTTAACCCTAGGAGTAACAAGTAAGCCAGAGTTTTGAGAACGTAGCTGTCTAGAAGGAAAGTAATGCTTAATCAAGCCGATGTTGTACTGTGGAGCAGAGCCATGCATACAGTGAAATGATAGCAAAAGCAAAACAATAACGGCCGGGTATGACCTGGACACCGTTCAAGCAAGCGTTGTAATTTGTTTCCTAGTCATGACAAGTCACTCATGAAAAAGCTCAATCAGTCATACATACATGAGGCTGGCTTACCGTGCCCTTTTGTTATTCCTCTACATCTGAAATGCCAATTTCATGTCGAAAAAAAGCGATCAATAGCTTTGGTTTTAACTCTTTACATTTTAGTTTGTCCGAATGTACTAGAAAATTCGTGAACCATAATTCAACCAATATGTAAATCGATGACGTGCGAATAATCAATATGTCTATTTTTGGTAAATCGGATTTCTTCTTACTTTTGTGCAAAAATTTAACCTGTTGCGCACATTTTTCTCTTCAAATACGGATTAGAAACTGAGGGAAAAGAACCGTGGTACTGTCTCCCTCACCTCAGTTGCAATATGCCAAATCATCCCCTCTTACATTGTAATAGGCCTATTCATCACTTTTATGGTACATGTATGCCTAGATTAGAACATCGTCAAGAATAATTGATATCCAGTCATTATAAAAAGGTGATAATAATCTCCCCCCCCCCCCCCCTCTCTCTCTCTCTCTCTCTCTTTCTCTTCTCTCTCTCTCTCTCTCTCTCTCTCTCTCTCTCTCTCTCTCTCTCTCTCTCTCTATTTCTCTCTTATTATATATCTGCTTCCCCTCTCTCTACCTCCTTCTACAGGCAATGGAACGATCGACTTCCCAGAGTTCCTTACGATGATGGCAAGGAAGATGAAGGAGACTGACAGTGAAGAGGAGATCAGAGAAGCTTTCAGGGTCTTCGACAAGGATGGTAACGGTTACATCAGGTAAGACCATCACAACATCATACCAAATTATCTTCAGGGACAATAAGACGTTCTACAACACATGCTCCGATGACAGTTGCATCTCGGTCAATTTCCACACTAACCGATTTCCAAATTTCAACCTTGAAGCCAACACTATACGTGTACCTTACCCTAGGCTAACATTAAACCTCACGTAAAACCCTCTCGAAATCTTGTCCCCAGCTTTGATAAAACAAAGCCCGAGGAAATGTCACCAAAGCACATTGCCCGATGAGAATATTTACATTTTAGTTTTTAAAATAGTGTTTTAAAGCCTCTGAAAGAGAGGAATTGGTATATTACTTGAAGTTTCATGTATGGGAGTTCGACCAAAAATGTTAATGATTACAATGTACTAATATACATAACGAGAAACACTATGCAAACGGTTTATAGAAAGTTGTCGTGTATTTGTATATGCACAGCATGTGAATTATTGAAACTATCGTTGATTGATCGACTGATTTCTGCAGTCAACGAGATACGTGGTTTTTTTTAGAGTTATTTATTATTCAGAATATCGAGATCGTAGATAAATCGATGTTTTGTATACCATTAACCCCCTCAGTCAATATGATTATTGTATCATATTTTTCGATGACATCCTGTTCCAGATGTCTTCTCGGAGATGATTTCTTTTAAAGTATATATCAGCGCTTTTGTATTATCATCAAAACTGAGTCATTGAAAATTGATTCCCTTTCCAAATATATTTCGTTCAATGGAGGCAAGAAAGAAAGATCGTTAGTCCTTTATCCAGATTTCCGAACGCCGAAGGGAAGGATTTACATACAATGGATACTTGGTTCATCTAGAGATCTGCGATCGGAATGAATTTCGGTCAACTTTTCCAATTTAGGCAAATGGAAGCATCATAAAATAAAGTGTTTAACAAAAGGAACGGTACGGAGATAAGAGGGAGAGCTTACAGATAGAGTAATTGAAGGACCTGTACAATTTTGGTAACTTACTTACATTAATTGCTTTTAAGAAAGTGTTAAGAAATTGTCCATGTATTACATTCAAAGAAAAATATAAAACGTTTTGACTTGATACTAGAGAAAACCATGTAGGAATGGCAGACCAAATGGTGTGAATACATCAACTGAACTCCACGTTTGTATGTACATTGTAAATGTTCTCTTTCCTTTCTTCTCAGTGCTGCAGAGTTACGTCACGTGATGACGAACCTTGGTGAGAAGCTGACAGACGAAGAGGTGGATGAGATGATCAGGGAAGCCGACATCGATGGTGATGGTCAAGTTAATTATGAAGGTAAATCAGATGGTTTGATGTAATTCCTCTTTCTAGATTGTTATGATTGTTTTCAATAAGCAATTAACTGTTTAAATATACATCAGCCACACGGTTGACGAGACCAAAATGTGCCCTTCAGACAAAACATAATTTATTCATAAAATCGGTAACTTAACGTAAACAAAAAAGAAAGGAAAAGGTGATCTGCATAGTATTCGATAACATCCATCCGAGTACAAGAAGAAGAAATTGTACATAAGTAACTGGCTTATTTTTATCATTTCTTTTCCATTTGCAATTTTTTTCCCAATAATGGAAATTGAATGTAGCCTATTTGAATTATCTTATTTTCGTGAATGAAATTCATGTATATCAATTTTTGTTTAAAAGCAATTAATAGAAAGTGAGATTTTCGATTTGCTTTGTCATTACAGAATAATAAGTTATGTGACATTAAACCACATTATATCTTTCCATTGCATGATGGATTACTTTTTTTAATTTGTGTTGCCTGTCTTTTTGTGTCTTTTTTGTCCTCCCCCCTCTTCCCCCCCCCCCCCCCTCTCTCTCTCTCTCTCTCTCTTTCATTCTGTTTCCAGGTAAAAAGCTTTTACAAATAGTGATGATCGTATTATATTTGAAAAATACAATTAATGTATTTGTATACCTTGTATCTTTTCCTACATTTCAGAATTCGTCACCATGATGACATCAAAGTGAGGTCGGCTAGATATGACGTCACTTCCGGCCGTTTGTCAACCAGCTCCAGCCGTGACATCGGTGTTGCCATTTTGTGGAGGGCTTTCATCTTTGACTGACAAACTGAATCACGAAAACATTGAAAACTCATCCCAAATTCTATTGCACTTTTATTAACGGAAGAAACCACAAATTATCAAGAAACCTGTCACAAATCTCCACGGTCTACACGGGATTTCTCGTAAAATTTTTATATACCAAAATCACGGAGCTTGATCTTGAGTGTGAACAGCGCCGAGAGCACAAACGTTGGCCCGAAGCAGACATTGTATATAGACAATCGACCGCGTTCACGTCTTCGTGATTATACAAAGTGACAGAAATGTATTATACATTGAGGACTCGTGTAAATTTCTGTATAATATTGTGCGTTCCAATTGTTGTTATGTGTTTTTTGTTTGTCAAAGAATTCTAATTTGTTGATAATATACACAAATGAATGACGTTAATGTTAGCATTTACACTGATTTTATGAAGTTGAACAATCATAAACTTTTTTTAACATAGGTCTCGTATATTGGATATTAATTCTATTTTAATATCAATTTCCCAAGACTTTATTCTTCGTAACAAAGTTAGACAATGGTAATTTTATGAGCAATCGAACAACATTTACTACCATCATAGGGAAACAGACAAGGCCTTACTACAAATGCTGGCATCAGCTTCAATACAGAAGCGTGAACTTATTTATTTGAAAGTGATAGCAGGAAATTATATCACGTAGACTAATGTGCACCTTATTATACTCATGAAAATTACTCATTCCATGTTGTTAGTGAAACAAAATGTCATCAGTTTTTGAATAAAAAAGGAATGTTTGAAATATCTCTCGTGTAATGATTGATTTGTAATCTTTCAATGTCTCTTTTTAAAGTAGTAATTTTTTTCTCGCTGGGGTTGTGATTAATTGAAAGTAATTAAAGAATTAAAGTTAACCAAGTTATTTAATGTCTTATCAAATCTACTTTATTCAAATCAAGGAAAGAACCGTGATAGTTTGTTTAGATGTCAACTAGATTTTCGACGTGACACTGAGTGTACATCACAAGTCCAGTTGTTATTCGTACAGAGCGTGGTGTTTTTTTTTTTTTTGTGTGTGTGTGTGTTTTACCATGCGTGTGTGGGAAGAAGGAGAGAGAGAGAGAGTGAGAGAGAGATAGCGAGGGAGAGAGCCAGAGAGAGACACACAGAGAGAAGGAGTTCCGATGGTTTGTCTATTTCAATATGAAATCAATAAGATATCATTAATTTATTTAGGAGAAAAATAAAATATGCGGCCATTAGTAACTCGTCTATGTCAAAATTAAAGACGATGAAATCACCTCCAAAAAGGTACAATATTAACATTAATATTCTAAAATAAATTCGCTTTAAGACGTGGTTGCACCCATATCGAGGCCAACGATATATCATCCAATGGGATGCTTTTTTCTTTTTGTATGAAACTTTTATTTTAACTAGAAACAAATTTGTCAAACTTACATGTTATTTCATTATATTTATTTGTATGTTTCTTTGTATTGATATGAAAAAGTGGAAATAAAACAAAACAAACAAAACAAACAAAACAAACAATAATACGTGTAGGTGAAGTTCATATTTAATGCAGATTATATGATGATTATAAGAGTTGCATTTAGGGATAAGTTCCTACCAGGTTATCATCTTAATAACCCAGCCGAAGCGACAAAATGTAGATCAATGTGTTGTCAATGGACGTTGGTGCTACGTCGGGATTCGAACTCGGCACCCTGTAGTTCTTAGTCTGGAGAATCATCCACTAGTCCACGACTCTCTTCACCTCCACAACACTGTTTATGAACTACAGCGATAGTGATGTGTTAATATTGAGAAAGAAAAATATGTACATTTCAACAGATTGCAACAAAAAAGAAATACCTCTGCAAAACTTTCTCGATCAATGACAAAAAAACTAATTGGGCTAGGAAAGTATTGGACGTAACAGCGATGGACAGGAAGGAGACATACAAGTGGAAGACTCTCCTTTGAATCTCATCAAACATAACCCAAGATGATGTGTGAGTCATTCTCAATGATGTCCGTTGTGTTGATGGATGGATGGACAGTAAATGGCATGAATGGGGAAGGGGGGATTAAAGGACATATAGATAATGACAAGAATCATCCTTGGAAGGTTATATAATGTGATCATATTCAGTTTATACACCTATAGACGTTTATCTTTTTAAAGCTGTGATTTCAGAAATTTACTGCCTTCCTCTTTTAAAAATAGTAATTATTTCTTCTTTTTGTCTCTTGTCCCCCTTTGAGAGGAATTGCAGAATGGTATGTAAAATGAAATCAATATTCTGGCTTCGGAATCTAAATCGTTGTTCTCCTCTCATTTTCTCGCTACTCCTCCTTAAATTAAAAAAAATATGCAGCTGCAAAGAGAGACCGTATCTCGCTACTCACAAGCTGATATGAAAGAAGTGGATGAATTGCCTTTTGGGGTTTACCAACATGTCATACTGTGAAATGAACCTAGCCTGTGAAATGCATGAATGAAACAGTAGTGTGTCTGTTGATGGCACCAATAATGGTAATGACGATCAGAATGAACTGTCGTTAGCAAGCTGATGGCTACCATGAGAAAAGGGTCACCAAAGTACATTCATTTTGTTCTAAAAAAAATTCAATGCATTTCATGAATCTTAAATTCATGTAATTCAAACTGCATAGGCAATCAATGGCAAGGTTTGAAAAAAAGGAAACGATCCATTGTGTGTAAAATCTAGGATATATAACTTCTTTAGAAACGATTTGTCATGTTTATTCAAAAAGCTACTAAACAGAACTGATTTATAAATGACTCTACCGAAATATATCAGATGATCTCCAATGACTCAACAGAGAAAGAAAAGATTTGAAAATATTCTTTTTTCTCGACTAAACGTTCTTCTCACCCACAACACTTTCAGGCATTGAGAGAATTCGCCCTTTTTAACAAAATTAATAGTCAATTTGCTTTGAAACTGCCGAAATATATTTTATGTCACGTGTACTTTCTTTTATTTTTCATGTACTACTAGTAAGATTATCCAGATTAATCTTCCCGTTTGACTTACTACACGGCATTAAAACCATTAATCCCATTTTGTCGTTCACTGTGACTATCCATCCTGGCCTTAATGGTCCACACCGCCTTTAAGTTGGTCCTTTATTAGATGAGCTATGGGCTGATAAGGAAGTAGTTGTATGGCATCACGCATAATGTCCCCGGATAATGTCCGTACGCAAACAATCGAATTGTGTGCATAGTGTGTCACAGAGGATGATATGAGTGAAAGTGATGGCGATGATGATGGAGTAACCGCATGGTTACGTAATGAGTTTACCACCAGGCCTGGCTGATGATGGAGCGGAGTTGATGGAGAAGGGGGAGAGAAAATGGAATGTTGCTGATACGAGGGGGGGGGGGAGGACCCACTGATAGTAATGATGATAGGATTTGCGTAGAGGTACACTGAGTGAAGAAGTGGAAGGAGGAATGATTGCGGCCAATACTTTGAATGAGTTTGGTGTGCAGAACATTATTGTGTGAGTGGCAATGAGTGAAACCCCATTAATCTTCAGGTATTAATATCGAATGGTCCAAAATGATTTTAAGTGACAATGGTTTCGTTATTCCTGTCCCAATCGTGTAAGCCACTTTGATGCACAAAGCTAATAGAAAGATTGTGAGGTATACAAACTCAAGTACGCAATATAATATATGTACATATACTTATTTAATTGTTATGCTCGACACTGATATACAGTCGTCCAATTTGATTAAAAATTAGGGCTATATTAAAGTTTGGTAGACTAGGGATAAGACAATGAATCCACGTGGAAAAAAGCTGTGCAGGGCTTATCATTTCTGGTGCATTGATGACGGTTTATGAGTAACAGTTCTTTCACATCTAAGTTAGATCACGCATTCTTGTTGTTTGGTCGTTCTTTAAAACAAACAAGTAAATTAAACATATTTCAAGAATGAAAGATAACCAGATCTCCTTTGTACACATTAGGTAACTGTATATGAAATGCTAGAGCGCTATAATGGCAGCACAGCTAAAGCCGGGGTAATAATATCCAAGTTTGGAAGCGCTTACAGACTTATTGTGATTTGCGCTATATAAAAGCTGAATATTTTTATCATTATTAGTATTGGTGTTAATACTAAAATGAATACTAGTTGATTAGTGCTGTGCTATACCTCAAACTCACGGGGAAATACGTGTTGCTTTGGTTGTTGGGTCTTATGAATTCTATTTAGGCTTACTTCTGTTTGGCGTCCAACCAAAAGATTTCCCTATGAGAAAATGTGAAGCCTGGAAAATCCCTTTATAAGATGTTCGTGTAGGATCAGTTCCAGTGCAAAAGAAAAAGCTGCTTTATGATATTGTTTGAATGGTGTTTGATCATCAGGTTATAGTCTCTGCCCCAGAGGGTTTTTGCTTCAATCGACTCTGAGCCAACGACAGGTGTTTACTGCAGATGAAATCGATCAAATATACCCTGAACGAACCTGAAAAGAATCACAAATACACTGAAGGACAAAATAATTATGGTCTGAATCGTATACAAAAGAGGCGTTGCCGGCTTGACACCATCCTATTTTTGGCGATAATATTAAGAATGAACCAAACACGACCGTGATAATGAGAATGAGGAGTCCGTTTTGCTAATAATATATCTATCCTTAAATATGCAAATAAATTTAATTCTGTCATGCAGTTAGAACTTTCATATAGGCCTGCCATTATAATAGAAAATAATGTAACAAACATGTGTTTCCCCTTGGGTTAAGGTTTAATTTTAGAAAAGAATTAGATGTCTTATCAATATGATTACATTATTTATTGATTGGTTATCAATACTATTTCTGCGATGAAATGTAAAATATTTCCTACTTTATAAGCAAGTTCATTACAATAATATTTTTAGTTTGTCTCTGGCGATGATACTACAACAGCGACGATGATGATAATCATGGCATTGATTTCTGTGATGATGATGATGATGATGATAATGATGATGATGATGATGATCGTGATGGCGATGGCGATGAATATGCTGCTGCTGATGGTGGTTATGGCTGCTAATTGTGGGACTGTTTAGAACAGCAATTATTCACATGCAAGAAAATTTTTAATGAAGGACAGGCATCATAGATATTCTGAACACATCTGTCGGATATCAGTGATGATTCATATATTAATAGATAAAGCGATGAATGAAATAGTGTTGATGTTGAAACACAATTCCATCGATAAACAGGTAGAACCGACGAGAAACATGGCCGTCTCATTCCAGATTTAACAAATCCGTGATGAAATCAATATACACACAGTCATACCCTTTTATTTCATGCAATTCTTGTCCCTTATGTTAGATAAACACATCGCGTGATTGAATTGAGGTAATTATGCGACGTAGAAAATTAAGGAAGAACGTCTGGTGGCCACAGAACACGTTGTGGAAACATGGGGATACAGCTATGGCAAGATGTGGGTCAAGGGAAACTTATGTTGGTAGAGGTAGGAGAGGTCAGCAGGAATCAAGTGCCATGATTTTGGTTTTATTAGCAAATATTTATTTTTGAATTATGGTGGTCAGAAAAATCAAGGACAAAATTATGGGTGTTTAGAAAAGGTGTTTAGTGAGAATTGTTTACATCAGACCTCCGCCTCTTACAAACACGGCTCCCCTTTCAATGTATATCTGTATGTGGATAAGCAGACACAAATAGGAAATATACCCCCCAAAAAATGAATAATTGGGTTGACTTTCATCTTCTCTAGGAATCCAAGTCGGAC